TGTATTCGTCTACTGTATTCGTCTACTGTATTCGTCTTCTGTATTCAGCTACTGTATTCGTCTACTATTTATCTACTGTATTCGTCTACTGTATTCAGCTACTGTATTCGTCTACTGTATTCGTCTACTGTATTCATCTACTGTATTCATCTACTGTAGCAGCTAAGTGTTCCTGTCACTTTTGACACTATATAATAACAACTGTGTTTTTATTGTTTTTGTGTTTGTATTTTTAATGTTTATGTTTGTGTTATTTTTCTGTTTGTGTTTCTATTGTTTATGTTTTAATTGTTTTTTGTGTTTGTTTTTATTATTTTTGTTTGTGTTTTATTGTTTATGTTTTTTTGCTTTTATGTTTTGTTGTTCGTTTGTGTTTTATTGTTCGTGTTTGTATTTTTATAAGTATTAATTATTAAGGAAAGTGTTATAAATACGAGTAAATTTTATCTTAAGGTTTAATTGGTCATTAGTTAACCTGTATTGGTAATATATTTCTTAACCAGTAACACCTTAGAGGGATATCGGGGTAATGGTTGTCGTGACTGCCACCAGGGGTCACCCAACACATGTAAACAAACACAATTGATCGACCTGCTCCACCAAGTACATCTCAATGACATTTCAGTGTTGTTCGACTGGGCGGAAAAATCACTTGTTTAAATAAAATGCAATTGATGACTCTAGAACACGCGACACTGGGTAAACACGGCGGTATGTAGTGACTATAAACCAGAAATAATGATCCTATCCTAACCTAACCTAACCTTACCCAACCTAACCTAACCTTACCCTTACACTACAGTGCGTCCTGAAAGTCATTAATTGTTTAGGTACAGAAATACAAAGGAACATCACACACACACGTTAAGAGTTGGCTAAGTACCGTGAACGACACATTAACCTGTACCTGTAAGCATGGCGAAGGTAAACTATGTGTATGCTCGTGTGCGTGATGTGAGGAATTAATAAATCAACTGTTGCTCTTAACACCTTAGTCCCACAAGCGTCATATGACAACTGATAGTCCACAGCTTAGGTTAGGTTAGGTTTGGTTAGGTTAGGTATGGTCTTCATGATGCCAGGGGTGTATAAAGAGAGAGAGAGAGGGGGGTTCCGTATTTTGTAGCATGTTTTATTATTATATTATTTATGTTAGTCTTAATCACACACACACACTGGTCACAATAACACGCCATTGTCCAGAATGAAATGTTGCAAGAAGTGGTATTTGGGGAGTGGACAGAGAAGGAGGAGAGGGGGGGAGAAGAGGAGGAAGGGACAGAAGGAGGAGGGTAATAATAGGAAAGGGAGGGGAGGAGGAGAGGAGGTGGAATAGAAGGAGGGTAATAATGAAAAGGGACAGGGGGAGGAGGAGGAGGATAGTAATGAAGGAGGGAGAGAAGGAAGATTGAGAGAGGGAAGAGGAGAAGGAGGGGCAGGATAATAATAAAGGAGGGAGGTGGAGACGGTAATGAAGAAGGTGGAAAGGATGAGGAAAGGGAGAGGAGGAAGTGGAGAACGAAGGCTGGGGAGGGGAAGGAGAGGAAGAGGAGATAATCAAGAGAGAGAACATAACAATTATAAAGTTGAGTAGGAAGTAATTGCTTTGACACCTGATATAAATTACATTAATTATCTTCGGAACAGCAGGTGCAGGTATACAGGCGTAAGTCCGAATAACTAGTGGTTCAGGTACAGACACAAGTACAAGTACAAGCACAGGTAGTGGGCCAGAATCTACAGGTTATAGTTACAGGTGGTGGACCAAAATCTACAGGCAGTGCGGATATAGTACACTGCACGCCATCGTCTTTATTCACCCATTTACAACTGGGTGGACTAGGGGGTGACTCGGGTCTTAAACACGGACATTCACTGTTTATTTCTGTCTTAAAACATCAACACTTCAATGTTTAGTTATTGTGGGGGGGTATCAGTGTGTGTGTGTGTCAGAATATAAGCAAACAAATCTATCTGTTTACATCTTCTTGTCAATTATAGCCCCAGGTAAAGAGAATATAAGCAAACAAATCTATCTGTTTACATCTTCTTGTCAATTATAGCCCCAGGTAAAGAGCTCCAGGTAAATAGCTCCAAGTATATATTTTTATTATATTCAGCCATAAAAGTTTTAACTGATAGACATGATCATCTAAGTGTTTGTTATTAGAGTTGGGTTAGGTTAGGTTAAGTGAGATTAGATCGATTAATTTAGGTTGAGTTAGATTAAGTTAGGTTAGGGTTGGTTAGATTAGGTTAGGGTAGGTTAGATTAGATCAGGTTCCGTTAAGTTAGGTTACTTGATGTATGAAAGGCGATATATGATTCCACTCATCTAAGTTTAGAAACGCTATGTCACGTACTCCACTTAATCAAGCTTGGCCTTAGTAACGAGCTCTCTGTAGCCCCCGTGTTGACTTGAATGCATTGCGAGCTTCATCACTCAGAAAAAACAAAGACCTGACCAGTGCCCAAGTCTGTGAAAGGACAAGTAAGACACTGTTAGTTTGGTTAGGTTACGTTAGGTTAGGTTAGGAAAGGCAGATATAAAGCTGAGTAAATTAGACTACAACAACAGCAGCTAGAACAACACCGGCAATAATAATAACAACAATAATTATAACAATAATAACAACAACAATAATCAGAATAACAACCATAATATCAACAATCATAACAATAACAACAGCAACAATAAGCAGAATAACAACCGTAACACCAACAATGATAACAAAAACCATAACAACAACAATAATAGCAACAATATTAACAACATCAACAACTCTGGTGTTTCTGAGAATCTGACTTCAGTGTAAATATACTTTTATAATTATAAGATTGGAAGATATTTTTTATTTTTGTGAATCTGGTGCTTGTTTACATAGATACATGAGAGAGAGAGAGAGAGAGAGAGAGAGAGAGAGAGAGAGAGAGAGAGATGCAGAAAGAAAGAGTTAAAGTGAGAGAGGGGGGGGGTGGAAAGGGAAAATAGAGAAGTGAAAGACAGAAATACAGAATGCAGAGAAGGAAAAAACAGAGACAGACAGATAATGAAGAAAGAGAGAGAAACTAATATTTATTGTTGTTTAATATATATACACACAGGATTATGGAAAAGAAAGTCTTAAATAATATATATATATATATATCATGTAAATCCACAATGAAAACGTGATAAGATAAATCTTGATAAAACACGGGGGGAAACAACGGAGACCTTATTGTTTTATTCAAGACATCTTCAGTTGCCTCTAAAGATGTCTTGAATAAAGACGAAAGCAAGGTGCTGGTTGTTTCCATTTTCCCGTGTGATTTTATCAAGATATATATATATATATATATATATATATATATATATATATATATATATATATATATATATAAAACAATCATGTAAGCTGCCGGCACATTTTTCGTCGATGAGTTTGTATTATATATTAAACAATGTTATATCTCCATTTATAGATCGTGATGCTCTGGCGAATAAGGTCTTGGAACACGCACTTTTAAGACCTTGGTTCCTTTTGTGTGTGTGTGTGTGTGTGTGTAGTACAGTCATGGTAAAATATCCTGTCAAGTCCTTCGTCTAATATATGAACCCCTGGGAATCACGATTGAACCTGTTTGAACCTTTGAATCCGAGTCATCTATGGGTTCAGTAATGTATGTCTCGGATTCGCTGCTGGTTCATGAAGTTTCAGAGTTTAGGTTCATAGATGGGACGGAGAGGAACAATAGGATTTTTTTTTAGTTTATTTGTTTATTTATTTGTTTATATATTTATTTAATTTAAAACTGCCATAATACATTGTAAATAGAAACTTCCTGACCGAATACAAACAAACTTCCTGAACAAATTATAAAAAAAGACACTTCCTGAACGAAATAATTAAACACTACTTTTATATTTTCTCTTAAACTTGTTCTGTATAACTAGAAAAGATCACCAGGTCTTAAAAAAACAATAATAATTACCATTTAATATTAATACTTACAATGTAGCTTCTTGTTTTATCCAGATCATTTTTATCCTTCAGTCCTGGGATAATTATGTTGGTGGGGGGTGTTATTGTTCCGGTGCGAGTTTATAGGTACTTCAAATGACAATGTTATTATTAAACCTCGTCCACCAGATGGTGTTAGCTTGTACAACAGAGAACTTGTTAAAAAAAATACAGTATAATTTTTGAGTGGTGTTGGTGATGTTTCGAACTGCTGGGTTATGAAGCTTTGAACTGATGTTATCGTTGTTGTTGCTCTTATGTTTCAGGTGTTTAAGTAGGTATTAAGTAGGTGTTAAGTAGATGTTCAAGTAGGTCCATAAGTGATTAGTTTAAGTAATGTAAGTTTTTAGTGTAGTTATTTTTCTTCCACATATATTCTCGTTGCTGTTGATGTTAGTATATGTTTCAATGCTTCAATATTCGTATTCTAGATTGGTAAAAATATCTCTCTCCGGTTTTGTCTCTTTCTTTGCATTTATTTATTTTTTGTGTGTGTGTCGGTAAATAGCTTCGGGGGTCTTAAAACACCGAATTTGAAGAATGATAAAGATTTCTTCTCTTTGTTATACTGTTTACTCATGACAGAATACAACCGAGAATAAATAATAAACTGGATTATGATAAAGCGTTGAAGTAATACCACATTAGAACGGAAGAGGAAGTAGTTTATGCTCTAAGGAGACGATATTAACTTCAATCATGTTTTTGTTGTGGCTGAGAACACCTGCAATATTGTCTCCTTCCCTAATTATCAGTTATCAGCACCTGTTGCGTGAGTTACCTGCAGGTATGTGGAACAAACGGTGTACTGTGCTCTCTCTTTCTCTCTCTCTCTCTCTCTCTCTCTCTAACACACACACACACACACACACATATATACACACACCACCCCACATGGTGATCCGCGCGTGACCGCAAAAACCTTCACATTTTCGTCAAGAATATCACGATATATATTTTATAATTTTTATTGATTAATTTTTCTATTTATTACAGATGGTAACTGCCGTGGAGATTAACAACACTTAAAAACGACATCTCTGGTGGGTTTAGGCTTAGCTATTAAGAAACATCAACATCGTCCACCGAACATCAGTAAGTATAATATTATGTACTATAGGCCTATGGTATAATGTATGGTAGAATGATGGGGAGAATGACAGCCAACAATTCATTTCTTTAATAATAGGCTGTTGAATGTTTTATATTATCTGTCCTATTTAATTCGTTCGTTTTAGTCATCTTCAAAATTACGTTTCGTTTTTGTTGTTCCTGTTTGTGCTTTCCGGATAGGTGATGATGCGAGGATTCTACAGTAAGGCCTACCTGAAGATTAGCCCATCTAGCTTATATCAGCTGATGAATAAATACCCTAACGCTACCTGAGGGTTAGGTTTGGTTGGTTTGGGTTACGTTGGTTAGGTCAGGTTCAAGTTAGGTTAGGTTTGGATGGGTTAGGTTGGTTTGGTTAGGTTGGGTTAGTTTAGTAAGGTTAGTTTGGATTAAATTGGTTAGGTCAGGACAAATTACGTTAGGTTAAGTTAGGTTAGGTTAGGTTAAGTTAGGGTGGTTAAACTTAAGGTGAAATAAACTGAGGTGTGGCTGATCTTCAGGTGATCAGGTAACAAACAACATACAAACATACCATTACTGTCATACGTTGCTGCCACAAGATGTAACAGTATGGGTATGAGAGCCTGACCACTATTAATACACAAATACACCATTGTATACAAGAAGCCTCCACAAGATGCACTGGTTCATAAATTTGGGTGTAGTTCGCGTGACTATTTATATTACAACACTAGTATTATCCTCACTTGTCGAAAATTCTCGTACATTCATTAACTAGTAAGGACAACAATGTGGTTGTAATTGGAACAAGTCACGCGATGGCTCCCACTCGAATCTATATAATGTGGGGTGTGTATATATTTTTATGAGACGCCTTGGGCTTTAGAGACGCCCTTGGGCTTAAGAGACGCCCCTGGGCATTAGAAACGCCCCTGGGCTAAAGAGATGCCCTGGGCTTTAAAGACGCCCCTGGGCTTTAGAGACGCCCCTGGGCTTAAGAGACGCCCCTGGGCTTTAAAGACACCCCTGGGCTTTAGAGACGCCCCTGGGCTTAAGAGACGCCCCTGGGCTTTAGAGACGCCCCTGGGCTTAAGAGACGCCCCTGGGCTTAAGAGACGCCCTGGATGTAGTTCTGTGGGGATCTCGCTGTGGTCTCGCCTTCAGGAGAATATTCAGTGTACATTGGAGGCACTTTTATTTTCGACTCCTCCTCCCTCTCACCTTCCCCCTCCTCTCCTCTCTTGCTCGGGGTATAGGAAGAGTGGGACGGGTGAAGGGTAGAAAGAGTGGGACAGGTGACAGATGAGTGGGAGGTGGCATGAGTAAAGACAAGCTTGTGATTTATGATAACTACACGTTGAATAGATGATCCCCAGACCCTTGTAATTTCTCCCAAGGCGTCTGAGAGTGTCCAGCTAAATGGTTAATAGATGACTCCAATGATTAACGTCATTTCAACACGGCGCGGCGGGAGTGTGACGGCTCTGACGTGTGTGTGGCAAACGATGTTCTTAATCTTAGTATCAAAAGGTCACTAACATCATTTATATATATATACTGTATACTGTGTTGTAAGATTAAGGCGGTCAGCTGCTTGGGTGGTTGAGTGTGTGGGGGGGGGGGAGGTGTGTGTGTGAGTGAGTGAGTGAGTGAGTGAGTGAGTGAGAGAGAGTACGCACGCACTTGTACTCACGTAAGAGCTAAGAGGATGATAGTTGAGAGTTCATTGATATTATTGATAAGTTATAATGATAAAAATGGAATAAATTGTGTCACGTCATTGTTAAGTGTCGTGTTACTCACTGCTTTCATGTTCTTCATTGTTTAGTTTTGAAATTACAATGTTTTTGCTTTTTTATTCGGGAGTCTGCAATGAAGTGTTCCACCAGTGTTATAGTGAACTTGTAGTACTAATGTTGCCTCTACTGACACACTACAGTCATCAACTGAACTGTTCGTATATATATATATACATATATATATATATATATATATATATATATATATATATATATATATATATATATATATATATATCATTCACTGAACTCGATCATGACCACCTCACTCAGCAGTCCTAGACTCTGTTATATTTCACACAAAGCCTGTTCACGGCGCCATCAGCTCGATGAACAGGCTTTGTGTGAAATATAACAGAGTCTAGGACTGTTTTATAGTGTCCTTGTGGGTTGGTCCGTAGCATTCCCTAGTCCCACCCAGTAGGTCGAGGGTTCGATTCCTGGCTGGTGAGGTCGTTGATTATATGTTCAAAGTCCGCGTGTTATATGGACTAAAAATGAAGTGTATATATATATATATATATATATCACTGTAAGATTAAGTTAGGTTTGGTTATGTTAGGTCGTTTGGTTTCATTAAGTTAAGTTAGGTTAGCCCACTTTACAACACATAAGTCACTCTTCCACACTGACCTAACATGACCTTCCATGTACCTGACCGACCTCACATGACCCATCAAGTAGTGGAGAGGCAGAGGAGGAGGGAGCGGTGACCTCTTTGATTGGGAATAGATCCTAAAAGAATCTACACCCCTGTAAAACAAGTCCCATTAATCTCAGTGCTATTGAGTAGTTGCACGCTTGGTTGTGTGTCAGTCTATGATCTCTGGGTGTTCGGGCTACTGACTGTCTTGTGTGGCTCTGTCATTTGTGTCACCGCTGTCATTTTTAACACCTTTGGAATAATGTTCCCGCTGTTATTCGTATATGTCACACCAAAGTGGTTAAGTTAGGTTAGGTTAATAATTCACTGAAGAGGTGTGGCTAGATTAGGTTAAATTAATACAGTGAAGAGGATAGGTCACATTGGATTAGGTCACTGAAGAGGTTAGGTTAGGTTAGGTTAGGTTAATACACAGAATTAAATGGTTAAGTTTAAATCCAAGTCTGTTTATGCCACTCGCGTTAACTCATTGTCTGAGAACGTGGCCACCGCAAACACCAAAACGTCCGCACCATCAAGGACAATGCTGCATCGTGTATATTGAGGGTAAAGACAGTATTATTACCGACACTTACGACCTACTAGAGCTGAGGAAGATAACAGCCAAGGCATGAAAAGTCAGCACTGAGATAATTGTGACATTAAGAATGGAGAAGAAAGTGTAAAAGTGAGAGGAATAAAAATACCAATGGAGACATAAAAGAAATAGAGGAAGAGAAGGTGATGACATTAAAAAAATACCATAGAGAGATGGGATAAGAATGATATGAAAGATGGAAATAATAAAAGAGAGGAAGATCAGAACCAACAACTGTGGAGAAGGAGAAATGTAAGAAAACATGAGAATAAGAGAGAGAGAGAGAGAGAGAGAGAGAGAGAAGGGTGGTTTGGAGAGACATAAAGAGACATGGGAATAACAAGACATAAACTAAGCCTGATTAAACCATAACACAAAGATATAAAAGATAGTATAATGTGTGTGATTTATACTCATAGACGACTTGACAACCACAAGAGTAAATGACTGTAGTGAAAATATTACCTTAAAGCCGGAGATCTCGTGACCATTTAAGGTAACTAATGTAAGGTCGATTAACTTACCTAGAGACCAATTAAGGTTAAAGAAAAGTAAGGTTAATATAAGGTCGATTAACTTACCCAGAGACCATTTAAGGTAACTAATGTAAGGTAAAGATAAGGTCGATTAACTTACCCAGAGACTATTTAAGGTAACTAATGTAAGGTAAAGATAAGGTCGATTAACTTACCCAGAGACTATTTAAGGTAACTAATGTAAGGTTAAGATAAGGTCGATTAACTTACCCAGAGACCATTTAAGGTAACTAATGTAAGGTAAAGATAAGGTCGATTAACTTACCCAGAGACTATTTAAGGTAACTAATGTAAGGTAAAGATAAGGTCGATTAACTTACCCAGAGACTATTTAAGGTAACTAATGTAAGGTTAAGAGAAGGTCGATTAACTTACCAAGATACTGATTGAGGTAAAATTCGACAATCGTGGCCATCTGTATACTTTTATCCCGTCTTTTAGTTCCCCAGTCACCACGTCCTTTCGCTCCTATGTCTGTACACTGACTGAGAGGTGCATGCAGTTTGTAGCAGTCAAGATACTGTGTTCCGTTGATATCCGAGAAGATCCCGAGCGATTATGATTCATGGAGAGAACTCTTGCCTAGCCCGAGCCGCCCTCCCCGATGACTAGTCAGATTACTACTTCAATCCTGTTAGGTTAGGGTTGTTGTTTTTTTCACGTCTATGGGTGAGGGGTGACGACTATGTCCCTCTTGCCTGTAATTTTCCCCCTCATTAATGTACTGTATCTACCTGTTCAATGTCTGGCCTTTTAAATCCTTCCTCCAGCCATATCATAAATCTGGTTTAGATTTCAAGTTCTAATTCCATCTCAGATTTAATTTTATAGCTCCCTTAAATCCTATATATAATTTCATCCTTCTATTCAAACTCTAAACTGGTCTTCGGTGAGTCTTGGTTTGTATTACAGAGTTCATGTATTTGAAACGCTTTCTTTGATCCTTAAACCATGACGTTGCATTTGAACATCTGGCCTCTTTATACGAGTCGACTAATCGTTCTCATAAAGATATTAGTTGAACTTTACAGCTTTGTTTACTTGTATTTTTTTCTGTGTCTCACTTAAAAATCCCTTGACAAAACCACAGTCATCCTCTCATGTTATTTCTTGGTGGATAAATTCGAAGCATTGACTAGTAGTACATTGGTTGAATAGTACACATTAAAAGGTATAGAAGTCCATCTGACACTAACCAGTATCTCTCTCTCTCATTTGGTAATATAATGCGTGATTCTGTAATAAGGAGAGTGCCAGTGTTGTAACTGTTAATTCAAACGTCTCAAACAAACACACACACACACACACACACACACACACACACACACAATACCAAGAAGATACTTACTGAAGTTCTTAAGTAGTGTTTGTGTTGTTGGTATTTGTCAACCTCTCAATGACGTGTGTACCAAATTATAATCCGTTGATCAGGAGCCGATAGACAG